CCCACAACCTTTCCCGTATGAAAGAATTTTACATACTCTATATTGTCCCCGGGGACTGGAGCTGCTTTCCGGGTTGCGTTAAACTTGCCAAACACACACGCTGGTGTCAGAGCAAGAGTTGACCCTTAATCAGCAGAGCTTTGTCAACAACAACTGAGAGCCACAATTATCTTTTCCTATAGATAGGTGGGTTGCGCTCGGGGATCCGGGGGTTGTGGAAAGGGAAGAGGCTGTCAGAAAGGGGGGAGAGAGTCTGCCTTAACCTCTGTGGCTCGTGTTTCTACTGTGCACTAATGGACCCCTGTCAACATTATGGACAGAAACAGGAGGGCGCCTGCCAGCTGCATGACCCCCATAAAACAGAACAGGAAATCCTTGCAGGGAATGAAAGGGAAAGACTCTTCTCTTTTCTCTTCTTCTCCTCTCTTTTCTCCCCTCTTCTCTCTTATTTTCACAGGAAACTTGCACTGTCACACTTACGAAACCAGCAAATATCCACGGTAGGAAGCAAAGTTTCGGCGCTAACATTACTGTAGAATTATTAGTCATTTCGGCAGCAGCTGCACATTACATTTAACCCTGTTGTGGAAACCAGTAAACGCCCCGCTTTGCACCTTTGTTAACAGGTCAGAGCCGTTTTACGATACTTCGGTCACGCTGGGAGAAACCTGTATAATTATTACATACAGTGGATCACCCTTGGCTCTGTTACCAAAGTCCAGGGATTGTAATGTGGCAGGACTTTGTCACACTTCCTTCCGTGGTGTCCACTGAAACGTGACATGCTCTTTTATCGGAGGGCCCGCCTATCTGATCCCTGGGAGGCACAAACACGTTGGACACATCGTTCCCAGGAAGTCAGGTTCATTATCGCGGCCAATAAGACGGCGAGCTTTATTGTAGTTTTGGGGCTACACATTAATCCGTTCTGTTGGATCCTGCAGAGGCCATCATGTGATTACTTTAGTCATTACCAGTAGTACAGCCATAATTACTGTGGAGTCTGTCAGGATGTGGCAATAAGGAAAAAAATGCCATAATTATCCATGCAGAAGCGACCAGTTCAAGTCTCAACCAGAAAAAAAAGACGCATGTCTCTCCAAAAAAAAGTCATAATCACATGATTTTATAAAAAAACACAGGTCTGTGTGTGAGAGAGCATGAAAGTGCACGTATACATACAGCCAGTATTTGCATATGCATGGCTATGCGCGTGTGTGTGTGTGTGTGAGAGAGATAGAGAGAAATAGAGCGAGGCATGGGCATGTCCATGGAAATATCTGAGTGCGTGTGTGATCGCTGCATGATTCACAGTGTCACAACTGTGAGCAGAAACAACTGGACATCCTGAGCGGAAACCGCAGCCATCGAAGCTGCATTTTCCTGCGACATCCAACCTAACACTCTCACAAAGAGTCACTTGACTGGACCCTCATATAGGAAGTGAAAGAGGAAGCCACCTCCTGTCCATCCTGTCCACCGACCTAATCTCTGCTCTGCACTTCACGTGAAGCCGCTCTTGTAGACCAGCGGCCAGAGAGCGAGACTCTGCTGTTGCAAAACAGCGGTGGAAAGAACTGGCTGGGGCTGGAAACGCGCCGCTATTGGGGGTCAAGCGCCTGGTCACTTGACATTTAGCCGACGGGGATTAGTGACGGCCATTGTCGTGAATGCAGAATGCACTGATTGATCAAAAGGGTTCGTTTGAAACCAAAGAATTTCGAGTCAGTTGACCAAGTAGTTCCTCCATTTCATATTTAAAATCTCTGATTCTCTTGCTATCGGTCAGGAGCTCTTTAAAGAGAAACCCCCCAGCAGCCCTGTCATCCAAACACTAATAAATGCTTATGATATCACAGATGGATGAAGTAAGGGGTGTTGGACAGTGGGGTCTTTAGGCCCGGCCCGTCCTGGTGGACAGAGGCCTCTGGCTGTGTGCACGGCCACTGGTGTATGTAGCCCTGCATTCCTCTGCCTCTCTCCTCACAATGGTGAGTATCTGCAGCATTCCTCTGTCTACGTCCGCTGTCTGAGAGGCAGCCAGGCCTTGGCAGAGCCCGGCACTCGGGCCAAGAGGCTGGCACTCCGCTCAAACGATTCAGATGACATGTTTTTTTCGCTCTACACTCGCCATTTGGAGACAGCGTTTAATGAATGAACGTGTCGAAACAGTGAAAGTGACTCTTACTTAAATTCAGATCAAACATTATTTATTTTTCCATCCATCCATTGTCTGAACCGCTTATTCCTAAATAGGGTCACGGGGGGGACTGGAACCTATCCCAGTAGTCAATGGGCGACAGTCCACCAATCCATCGCAGGGCCATTATTTATTATTGATCTATTAAATTACTTTTGTTTTTTTGGGGGGAAAAAAAAGGCCAATGACGGGGTCTGATAAACCTCTTACTTCCACTCCTTGTTTTTTTTTTAAATATTCAGATAATTGTTCACTTTTGTTATCTTTTTACTAAAAGCGCAGGGCGGTATTTTCCGGTCCGTTCTCACTGCTCTCTCTTTATTTGTCTCCCATTTTGCTCTATCTCTCTCTCTTTCTCGTTCTGATGCCACAGCCGTGCAGACACCTTTCCCTCCTGCTGACTCAGTAGCCAGCCTCAGGCGCTGTGGGCTTGGGGTGTTGGTGGCGACGAGGAGGGAGGGAGGGAAGGGAGGGGAGGGGGGGAGGGGGGGGAGGGGATGCGAGGCTCCCACATCAGGCTCGCCAGCCTATCACATGCGAGGGAAAAGAGCTGGCTAATCGTTTCTAGAATGGCACACTGTCACACAGCACCACAAACCGCTCTCCTCGCCAACACTTCTTCTGTATTATTCCACCGTTGCTTAGAAATCTGCATGTGATGCACGCGAGCGCGCAAACGCACGCACTCACTCACAAAGAAATGTTCTCTGTTCCCAAAAAAAACACACCTATTAAAATCTGTCTGTGACAGTAGGGCTGTCTGCATGTCTGTCTGTGTCGCTACAAATTATTTTATTGTCAAATATGCATTTACACAAGACATTTCTTCCATCTGATGTGTTTTTAGTTCATGTTGAGCATCGTGTTGAAATGCTGTTTGTTTAATTTACAGTAAAAAACATTCAGAAATATAGAATTTTGTCCCAAAGAGCAGTGGTAATGTGTATTAATTAAAGAAAACAAATATATCTTGTTAATAAATGTTAAAGTGAAAGCTTCTATGACAGCAGCTAGCAGCTGATCCCACATTTCAGAGGCAATGTTTCATACATTTATACGTTTAGATGTCATCAGTCTCTCCGAAATAAACGGGAGCAATATTCAGTGCCAAAAACATCTGCTCATTTGGTCCTAAACGTTAGCAAACACGGCGTCACACACCCCCAGAGCGGTGGGCACACCGTCAGGGATCGGGCCTGTTTTCAGGAAGGAAAGTGCTTTTGCACCTGTGCGGCTTTCCCTCAACAGAAGGGCGGAGGTCAAGTCTTTCAGGGGTCACCCTTGAAAAAGGGAACCTGGTTTCCAGACCTAGGGGGGAGCCACCTGCCCCGGCTAACCTCCAACAAAAGGAGGGGGGTAGTTTCAAAGTCTCCTCCGACAGTAAAATCCTCTCTAAGATTTTGAGTGGAGAGCCTGTCGCAGAGGTTATAAACTCAATTTACAATGTGGCCACTTATCACACATTATCACACTGGCCTTGGAACTCTTACAGTCATCCAAATATTATTGTAGTCATGAACTGGGAATGATCTGCGGTCAGGAAATTTGCCTGGAGGAATTAGAAAATAAGAAAAAAAAAGGGGGAAAAAAAGGCTACATGTTAAGTCCGATAGTTCCTCCGGGGGCAGAGCGGTGTGCTGGGGTTGTTGTTTCTCTCTTCCTCTGTTAATGAATGCAGAGGTGATCTGTTTGTGTGAGGAAGAGAGCGGAGGGGAAGCCTGATTTCCACTCCCGTTTTATCTGCGCAGCGCAGCTTCTGCCAGCCAGCCCCGCTGTGCTTTCACATGCCGGGGTCCCACAGGAAGCAGCACTCCACGATGGGCAAAGGTCAGGGAAGGACCATTCACCATTAAACCAACCAAAGCACAGCAACGCCATTGTTGCCTATAGCACACTACTCAGAGCATGATACCAAAGTAATGATGAGAGTTTGTGTTTTTCTTTCCCTTCTGGAAATACTGGAACAATATCTGTGATTGCACAAATGAGTTCCTCTTTATAGTAACACTCACACCGCACACACTAACACAATGCAATGCCCTGAAAGTATGGATTCCAGAAATTACAGTAATTTTCTAAAAGGATTTTTAACTTTCCTTCCTCTTTCTATGGTGACTGTTACCGCACTATATGTTGGATTTGATTCTGTTAAAAGATTTGCATTAGCAATGTGATGATAAATGTGATAGAAAAACAAGTGTGCGAATGTATCACGGTAGGAATAAAGATTTTTCATCAGATGACACATGGTTTTTTAAAAAGTTACAATATGTTTATTGAGGCAAAGTAAATGAAAAAAAACATGGAAGATGAAAAACAATCGGCATTTCTTTTTGCATAATTGGGAGGAGCAAAATATAGAACACATCTGCCCAGCAGAATCAGCTAATGGAAACTATAATATATGATTTTAGCATAATTTGTTAAGACTATTTTCTGATTTCTGGTGGCATGAACACAACAAAAAAATTGATAATTGCGAAGCAAAATCACAAAAAAAGATGAACAGTAACTGAATTAGACAAAAAAGATTATATGTATGCCAATAAAAAGCAAATGCCCTCTGATTTCAAGTATGTCCTGACAAAATACACACAGGCCGTGCCTGTATGAGATAAAAACATATCACACATGTCCTGCATGCATGCTTTATAGCAATGATCCATTCATGACTTGTACGCGTCATCATTATTCAAGACATGTCCTTCTAAGATGATTTAAAAAACTTGAGCAGCCGTCAACAAGAATGACTGTTCATGGTGGGGGGGAAAAATCCAGTTTTTGGAGGAAGCAGACCGACTCACATTAAATACTCAGGTGAGGAAGGGTTGTCGCTGGTGGAGCCGGTTTCGTGGTAACAGTTTGCGCCGGACAGTTTCTCGCATTTGAGTTTGTACGCGTCCCTCTCGCGCATCAGTCGGTTGAGTTCGTGTTTGAGCTGCTCGACCTGTGACACCAGGCTGGTCTTCTCGTGCTCCAGGATGTGCTTCTGCTGGACGCGCTTGAAGCGGCACGACTGCGCGTAGCCGCGGTTTTTCAGGGTCCGGCGCTTCTGCTTCAGGCGCATCACCTCGTCTTTGCTGAGGCCCCGCAGCAGCCGGTTGAGCTCCCGGACCGACATGGACACCAGCTGGTCGTCGGAGAAGTGCGCGTCCGCGGCGCCGGAGCGCCTGTCGTGCCGGCTGTACTGCTGCTGCTGGAGCTGGTGCGCGCCCAGAGCCCCAGGGGCCTCCGGCGACTGTGGCGACGCGCTCCCGATCTCGTCTTTCAGATAGGGGTCCGGGCAGTGGCCGCTGGGCATGCCTTGCATGTCGGGGTGACCCGGCAGGCCCTGGTAGTGCTGGATGGGCTCGTTCAGGTGGCCGTATCCGTCGTAGTCAGCCGGGAAGGGCTGCGGGTGGTGGCCGTGGGGCGCAGACGGGTGTCCCTGCTGCGTCGTGGCACCGATCAGGGCCTCCATGGCGTCCTCGGGGGTCAGACCGAAAGACTGGGGGTACATCTGATGAGGGTAGCCGCCGTTGTTGGGCACCCAGAACTGGTCCCCCCCCGGGTTGTTTCTCTGCTCGTTCGGGTTGAGGTTGGGCGACGAGGGGACCGAGTTGCAAGGTGTGCTGCTGGGGGTGGACGACACAGAGTCCGGTCTCTGGAGCTGGCTGCACGCCCCGATGAAGGTACGGTCCAGTCCCTGCATGGTTTCTTTCTTGACACCGAACTTCATCAAGTCAAAGTCGCTCACGAAATCCATCGGGATCTGTCTCAGTCCCAAATGTCAATGCGCCTCGACGGTCAAGTGAAAAAAAAAATTGTCTGGCTTTCGTCAAAAAGCTCCAAATGTCCTGTGAAATTTCATGCAGTCAGCAAAATCGCACTCAGTTGAGAAACAAAAAGAAAAGAAAAGAAAATAGAAGAAAAGAAAAGAAAAGGGGAACGTATTTCCAGACTTTGATTTTTAAACTCTTTTTAAAAAAAGAAAGAAAAAAAGAAAAACAGCGTTGGTGAAAAAAAAGCTGAACAAGCTTCCCCTTCTCACACTGCACGGCGTTGCGCAGCTCTTTCCACTTAAGCCACAAACCGAGAGTCCGGACGACTCCGAAACACGGGATTCGCCGAAGTCTGTTCAGGAGAAGCGCACTTTCTTCATAAAGCTGCATTGGCGTGATGTCACGCCTTCCAGACTACACCTCCGCGCTGCTCTCCAATCAAAACGCGCCGGGGATTTGCATAATGGCTGGTCAAAGTTTGTCCCCACAATCCAATCCCTATTATAAAAACCTACATGATCAAAACCCCAGACGGTTTAAATGTATATACCACGGTACATCCCCTTCTGTCTTATAACATATTTATCATTTTCAATTGATAACAGTTAAATTAACACTCGTTTTAAATAAACATACTCCCATTAGTGACTTATTTGGACACACTGTTTTTTTATTTGATTTTTTAGAATTCAAAATCCTAAGTATCTATGGGGTTACACATTTTCACAGAAAATGTTAAATACTGTAAATAATAAACTGTAACATATGTCCTCCCTGCTTTTATTCATTGAATACTAACTGTATGTATTAAATATGAAACTGTAAGCCATTTATTCATCCAGGCATTGATATATCTCTATAAACAAAAAAAAGCCAGTAACTCGATTCATTTCGGTTTGGTTTCTGCTCTCGTTGGCTGGTAAATACTGACCTCTTGTGATCAGAGGGTTACACTGCAGGAGTCCCATTAAACGCTGAGGCTCACCGGTCATGCATTCCATTCTAATATATATTAAATAGACTTGCTAATGACAAGATAGCTGTAACTATTGCTATTCTCACCTTTTATCATTTAGATAAATTATTTTTTTCTCATTTAGCCTGTATCAAAATGAGTTTAGATATCTAAGTAAGTGTGCGTTTTCATGTCCTTCTTAAACTTAATTTGCATACTTCAGAATGATTAAAATCAGAGACACCAATCAAACTTTAAACACAAAGATTGGGCTATAACCACAATGATTTAGCATCTTAAAGGTTTATATTTAAATTGAACAAATTTGCCTTGTGCCTGTTTATAAAAGATTTGTGTGAGCTGGCTGGAGTACATCATAGTTAAAATGGGCATAGTTGGCTCTAACTTCTAACCAGGACCCTCACACACACAAAACTTAGACACACTCCTCAACTTCACATTGGCAGGAAAACATTTTCTTACAGACTACAGAGGCTGGATTTAAAAAAAAGAAACATGGAATCCCACACAGACTACTCACAGCCCTGCATGTTCACCAAGATACACACAATCTCTAGTTTCACACAGAACTACAAAACATTCCAACATACACACACGCACACATATGAGTTTATCTTTATCACACTGTGAGCTCAGATACAGTGGAACACACACACAACAAACACAACCCTTTAGGACTTTGTGAGCACCGATATCTCCGGGGTCTTTCAGTCGATCGCCACATGACCACCATTACGACATGCACATATAGATTTACACACTATCTACGGGAGCAGGCTTTGAAATACGTGTATTCACCACATAAAAGCATGCTTGTGATAAACTACAGATTTCAGAGATCTATCTCAACACCGAAAGACGACAACAGGAAGGTCAAAAGTCATTCAGAGCTGAGTTGTTTACAGTAAGTATGAGAGTTTATGCAGTACCTGAGGTATGAATAAAGGATCTGTTTGTTGGTTCAAAACATTCCACTTTCAGTTCTACCTCCCCATCACACAAGCTATGCTGGTTTATACAATGGTTTAGGTTGTCATAAACTCATTTTTAAATTGATCAGCTAGTACAGACATCAATCCAGCTTGTGTACAAAGCTGTTGAATTAATTCAGTAATCAGCATTCACAGAGTTATTTTTCTAGTTTGCTTCCGAGGAGTCAGACTTATATGCAATATTAACAACAGAGAATTTGGCTTCTTTTTATTTCCTTTTTGCCGTTTTTTCCCTCCTACAGTTTTGCGATGTAGCGCCACTCTCGTAATAACAAATGTGTGAGACATGCACGTGTGAAGCCACGGACATGAAATTTTGTTGTGATGTCAAGGAGGGCACAAATACGACACCAAAGTGGCCACAAAGGGAAATGTTGTGGCGCAGAGCTGGAAGGCTAAGTCTGACGGTGGACTCTCAGCCCTCACTTGCTCTTAGGAAAGGTCAGTGGTCACAAAAACAGTCAGAGGTCAGTAGTTTTCAGGTTTTCTGAGTTTAAAGCCATGCTTTAAAGTCAGTCTTGAGCATGGGTTTCTTTCTTAGCACTAACTTTCTTCAGCTGTGTCCAGACTGTATTCACTAGGCTGCCACCAACCCATTCAGGAGTCTTTTAGGCATAAATAAAGCAGATCCATAAGTCAATGGATGAATCAATATAGTATCTATCAACAACAAGCAAAGAAGGAATTTCAAATGATATATTGATATATTTGGACAGTTTGTTACCAGCAGTTTGTTTGAAAAAGACAGTTTGTTCCCATGTCTTTGGTTGCACGCAACAAAAAATTGTTGATAAAAACAGAAGACAAAATTCCCTTTCCACACACAAAACAACAAACAAGAAAGGCCCAACCTAATATCATTAAAGCACTGCAGGATCATCCTGACACAGAGAGGAGTAGAAGGCTGCCAAGATCCAACGAGGAGCTTTGGAATTTTCCCTAAGAAACATGGAAACTTTTTTATACAGACCACTAAAGAATACAGGTGTCCAACCAGATATTGTCTTGGAGGCAGACAGACTCTTGGAACAGTATTGCCACAATAACTGTAAATATACAGTTATGAAACTGACAATCAGACAATCAAATAAAGACAAACAGCCTAAACTACATGATGTATAGACAGACGAGGCATTTAATTAACAGATATTTAAACAGATATTTAAAATCTGACAGACGACAGAGGAAAGCAAAGTTAGAAAACACAACTTGCATTAAAAATAGACAAAGACAGCACCAACTGGCAACACAACCTGCAGCCCAAAAGACAAAGACCAACGTTAAAACACGAATTACACCATTTCTCTACGAGGCCCCCGGTATTTGTCTGTCTCTCTGACTGTATACACAACATCTTTCCCTCATGGCAATGGGGTGCTGTTTAGTAAACACAGAGGTCCATAATGAAAGAAAGGTGAGTTTCATTTATTCTCCAGTCAGTGGACAACATGGAGCGAACAAGCAGCATGAGGAGAAAGGCCTTGGGTAGGCAACACAAGGCTGAGGTCATGATAGCGGGAGAGCAACTCAGGTATGAGTATACGGTTATTTCTGCCTAATGCCCAATCAGAGGGCTTACGACTGATCTGAACGCCACCTTAAGGATGAGGCTCCATGATGGCAAACTGATAAAGGATCGGAGGTACCACCTGCGCACGTACCCCAACTGCTTTGTGGCCCAGGAGCTCATAGACTGGCTGGTGAGCCATAAGGAGGCTTCGGACCGAGCAACAGCCGTTAGCCTCATGCAGCATCTCATGGACAACGACATCGTCCATCACGGTGAGGGCCGCTGAGGCGGGACTCCCCGGCCGTTTCCACGTGTGTATACATGAAAATAAGAGCTGTCGCTGCTCTAACGGCATGTGTCCACCCATCTGCCTTTTCTTAGTTTGCGATAAGAGGCCGTTTTTCAAGGATGCCAAACTGCTTTATCGTTTTCGTAAGGACGACGGCACGTTTCCCTTTAATACAGAGGTGAAAATCTTCATGCGAGGACAACAGCTGTATGAACAGTAAGAGCTGTCAAGTTACAGCATAATGGTTTACAGCACATGGTTTCAGAGATTGGTGAATTATGATTAGCATTTTGTTGACAAAAACATATTATTATGCTGGGGCATCTTTTAAATGTTTATGTTATAGAAAAGGCAATCTTTGTGATAAAAAATGGCCTTTGTGGTTAATCAATCAATCAATCAATCTATCTATCTATCTATCTATCTATCTATCTATCTATCTATCTATC